ACACAATTTTATAGAACGACTTTCTATTGGTTCTTTCTAATCCACCCATCTTTTTACGATATCTTTGATCAAATGAATATGAATAATTACGTCGGATGCGCCACCCTGTCGATGGGCACGTGCCCTGAGTCTTACAAGGGAAAAGAGAAAACAATAATTTATACACATATATATATCGTTAGTAATATATGTATATATAGAGATATATGTATATATATAAAGCTTAAACCTAATCTATGTTGAGCATTCGGTGAACGACGAGGGTGACGCAGCCTATGGTATGAAAAAAAGCGCATTGTTTCTTTCTGCGCCTTTCGAAGCACATCTGACTATAAAGAGAGAGAAAACAGAGGAAAAAAAAGAAAAGGAAAAATGAAAAAGAAACAAGATTGTACCGTTTACGTATACGGATACACGATTGCGCGTTCACCGCAAAATTCGTCGCGAGCTGACACATCGAATCTCCGAGCGTCCTATCTATGGACAAATATAAGGAAACCCATTCAAATTTTTGATGACGAAAAAACAAGATCGAAAAAGAGTATCCATCGAGTAAATTATTTATAAATTTAAATTTAAATTTATAAATTAAACATCTTGCATTTCGTTTTTCCGTCGAATTTTGCACCAGACGAAATCCTATCCCTTTTTTCAAAATTAATCGAATCGTTTTCATTGCACACATCCGCGAAATGCAATCAAAGTAACGAAAAAAGGAGGTAAATGCCTGACGCCGAGGTGACGAGAGCCGTTTATTGCAAAATAGTAAATCGATCGATCGACGCTGATTCTCCTACGTCTTTTACGATACGAATGGAAAAGGAAGCGAGAAAGAGAGAGAGCAAGAACGACATTCGCGGGAAATAATCGCGATACGCAACTCGAGAAAGCCAACTGACGCGTAATTCCGTCGTGGGATCATACGAAGTTAAGCGGATATTGCTGGTCGTTAGCGGTCGTTATCACAGTATATCGCTGATTCTACTTAATACGTACGCTTTGCTCTCTCTCTCTATCTCTTTCTGCATCTCTCTCTCTTCCTTTCGTCGATCGAAATGGCACTGCGCAATCTTCCGACGTCGTCTAACCACCCGAACCAGTTTCGCTCGCAGACGAGGGCTCGAGATGGCGATCTTTCGGAGCCTGAAGCCGATAATATTTACAGGATCGAGGGAAAAAAATATCAAATACATCGTCTTATCTTCTCTTCTCTCCTTAGCTCTTTCCGTCTAAAAATTAACATACGTTTCTAAGATCGACGCTTGCAGTTTCCCCTCCTTAAGTAATCTTAATGTTGCACGTTTGTTTCCTTAAATAAATCCATTGTCGGCTCGCGACAAATTTCGTGATCTCGCGCGTATACGGAACTTAAAATAAACAAGTAACGTCCCTGTCATTCTCGGCAGAAAACCTCTGGACCTCCCTCCTTGCAAAAAGTACATCTTGCAATATGTATATAAAATATTTATATATATATAATATATATAAAAAAAGAGATTAATAAAAACCATTAATCCGACATCGCTACCTGTTCGTTCGCGACACTCGAATATACGTATTATTTATATCACACGGCGGATTTTGTGACTGCGAGATTAGAATATAATAAGCATAAGCACTAATAGTCTATTATCGATAATAATACGATATATAAAAAAAGGAGATTCCTACAATATCGGATATGAAAACGGAGTGACAAAAAGTTCGTACAGTCAACGGGATACAGCGTAATAAAAAAAACAGAGGTGATCAAAACTTTATGATGATACTAACTAATAAAATGCACCATACGCAATATCTTGTAAACTTAATAATTAATAATAATAATATAATAATATATATATAATATAATATAATAATTATATATATATATATAAAATAGTAATATATATAATAATAAAAATAATTAATAAAATAATAATAATAGTAATATGATGATACAATTTTATCGAGTATATCGTAGCAATAATAATAATAAAGAAAACAAATATTTGTTTTTATCTACACATTGTCTACAACAGTTATCTTCTTTTTCGCATTCTTCGGTTTGCGCAATTCTCAATCGCGATCAAACTCAATTCGCTTCGATATATAACGTCTTGACTCATTAGAGAGAAAGAAGATTATGTCGGAAAACATATATATGTATGTATGTATGTATGTATGTATATGTGTGTGCTATGTGTGCCCTTGCTCTCTTTCTTTTTCTTTTTCTTTCTCTAAGCTTGGCATATGTGCCTTTTTTTGTGTGTGATCAGTTATTTTCGTTATCACGGATTAAAGTTTAAAGTACAATCGGCCGTGCACATGGATAAGTCCCGTACTGAGTCCAAAATGTTGTCACGTTCTTCGTTTTTCCCTTTTATACATGTATATTACGGTTTTTTCGTTTATTCGAGAAAAATTCTCGTGCGTGCTATTCTTTCCAGCATTACGCGCAATGTTTCCCCACGGACGAGTTTTACCGATCCAATTGTACGAAACTTTCGTTGCAAGACTCTCGATTTGATTTCGACTGGACGAAAAGCGCGTATACAGCGCCATTTATTAATTTTTTTTTTTTAAATACATAGTTGATAAAATTTTCGACTCGCTTTTGAAAACTGTTCCCTATTTAAGTATAAATATGATTTTAATGTGATCGTGATTGTGTATATTTATGTGAATTTAATAAAGCGTTGTGCATTTGTTAGTTGAATTATAAGTTGAGTATTTTAACTTTTCCGTTTTATATAGATCCCGAAAAAATAGAGTAATTTAGTGGCAAAAAAGTGTATTCGAACGATGTTACAGATCTATAAAAGAAAAAACTTTTCAGAGCCTTAAATTAAAAACAAACTAGTATCTCGTATGATATACAAAAATGAATCGCGACTGCGGAATGTTTTGACAACAAATCTCGCAAAAAACGCTTTACAAGGACTTTCATTATTTAAAATTTTTTATGCCATAAATGTCAATGAAGAAATGATAAGCTTTTAATTTTCTTGAAAAAAAATTCGAATTAATGAGTATTATAAATATTTCTTTAAAAAAATGGTACAATTATAAACAATAGGTCCAGTTTTTATCGAAATATGATATCACTTGTTTTGATTATAATAGAAATCACTGATTTATTATTCATGAAAGGCGCGCGAGAAACATATTCCGAACATTGACATTTATCCGATCGATAAAAATAGCCTGCCTTCAATAACGAGTCAAACATGTAAATGAGGACAGATGTTCGCGGTAAAAATGAATTATTATTCTTCGAGTTGAGAAACGGTTGCGGCGCGATTAGTAAACAGATTATAGTAAAGAAAACCAACTAAGGAAAAAAAATAATTATTTATTCAACTATATTTTAAGTCGTTTTCACGCGAAAACGACCTAGAGTCTTAAAGTGGAAGTCCAAGAAGGATACATGTTGAAGTAGAAAATCTGTAGTCTTTCGATGTCCGCGCGTAAACACGGTATTATGCAAACACGACGGTTGCGGTTTTCAACATTACTGGGATATTGAGCATCCATCATAATACTTGGAATACGGTAAACGCAAAGTTTCATAATACAATTATAAATTAACGTGACAATTGAAAGAGCAAAAATAAAATAAATTCATAATTTGTAAGATCTTTGGATATAACTGCAAACATTTAAAATGGACCATATAATTTACACTTATTCCAGTTCTCTATCCTGAAACTTACATAAAAGAAAAAAAAATTATCTCAAAGTGTTAAATTATCGTTCACCGGGCTCGATCGTTTAACATTCAAAATGCTATTGCAGTATAATCTCTATTTGCGAATGATATAACAATATAAACTTGTTATATTCTCGTGCAGACATACGAGTACATACTCGTACATGTACGAAGGCATACGGAAATCGATGTGTTTCGATTTGACTTAGAAGAACGTTAATGTCTAACGAGTCTTGTTTGCGCCTTTTTATTTCATTTAACCGCAAGAATGATATTCTAGAAAGGGCACGCGGATAAATGTAAAAATATAATTTTAACGTCGATAATAATACTCGTAAATATTACGAACGGCCATTAGAAGAGATCCCGCCATTCCTGGCCTTCGATATTTCCCCATTGGTCGTCTTTCTTTTTTTCTTTTTTCATAGCTTCGCATTTTACGTAATAAACGAGAGAAAGAAAATAAAAAATAATATAAGAATATAACAAAAAAAAAGAAAAAAAAATAACAATGGACAACCACCACGATTATATCGTCGTTGTCGTCGTCGTTTCATTCCGCGACGCGATGTGTATAAGTAGATCTTCTTTCGTTATAATAATTTAACGAGAGTCGTTTATTAACGTGACGCCTCACGACGCGCGATTTCCCCCTTTTTCCCTTCTCAATATTGTATATTGGAAAGTGTATCGATAAAATTGCGGTTCCTCGATATAATATAATATTACCTTCCTAAAATACGGTCAAATCACTGCCGCGAGCAGCAATTCCGAGGCACTACGAACAGGCCACAGAGAATATGGCCGCACAATTATCATCTTCAGATCTCTGTGTCTCTAAAATGACAAAAGACTAACTGTAGAACACCTAATACGTAATCGTAATTATGCTAACGCATCTTGTCGTCTCTAGGTTTAGACTCATTAATGTAATGTACAATAATTAGAGAGATCACACGTCTTAATATAGAAATTTTAAAAGATTATTCTCTAGTACGTTGAAACCTTCCTCTCTCCACCTTCCTGCCCCCACCCTCTTCCTCCTATTTTTCCCTTTTGCTCTTCACTTAAGTATTGCCACAAAGTGTTTTCTTTTTCTTCCCTCCTCCTCTTTCTTAAGAATGATGATGATAATTCTCCGAGATGTGAACGGACCCGTGTACGGTCCTTCAAAGTCTTTTCTTTACCTTGAGCTATGCGCTATCGTCTACGCTACTTAAACGCTAAACTCTACGGTGTGTCTCAGCCTTCTTCCACGTTCCCTCCTCTTTTTCTTTTTTTTTTCTGTCTCGTGTACTCGCTTATCTAGTTTTTTTTTGTTTATATCAGCACCAATCTGATTTTTTAAAACCGATTCAAAATATCGTCATATATATATAGTTAGAATATAATGTAACCTGTCGTATAAATATACATTCAAATATTACTATAGTATACAAGAGTCGCGCGCACCTCCCTCCACCCCCTCTATCCCCTTCGCGCTGCATCGCGGTAGTCATCGTTTCGTCGATTCTTGACCGATCTACCCGAAAACTATGGCTCAGCACAGTGGGAGGATACGTCGTCCTCGTAAATTCTAGCTATAATCTCTCGTGTCTTTCTTCCTTCCGCTTGTCATATCATTCCCACCCTCCTCTCTCTTCCCATCCCAACTATCCCCCTATATCTTCTTTCTCCCACCCTCTCACTCGGTACTCTTTCTTTTCTCGCATCATTCGCACTCAATCGCATTCGCACACACTCGCATACTTCACCTTTCTCCGTCGTGTGTTTTTCTCTTCGTTCTTCTTCTTCTTCCTGCTTCTCCGCTTCCTCTTCTTCCTCCTTCTTTTCTTCTTTGTTTGGAGCGAACGGCTTTACATATTTACAAGCATTCTTCACGTGGTCGTGTAAACGCTTCCCTTGAGAAGCACAACATACCTCTCTCTCTCTCTCTTTCTCGCTATCTCTCTCACTCTCTCTCTCTCTCTCTCTCTTTCTCGCGAAACATTTTAAAACATAGGCAAGTTAAATATTGTATCACAATCATTTTAGTCTGGTCGAAATCGAACATCTTCAACCCGTTTGGCGATACGTGGCGTTTTGAACGATGAGCGGCGGCGCCCCGGGCGACGCATGCACCATCATCCCGCGAGACATGCAAAGACAGACGGATTCGCGGGAACACTTTTTTGTCAATCTCTTCGAATTCGCCTACGCGCCTCGCGGGGCGGGGGGGGGGATAAGAGCCCCGAACCCTCACGTGCTATTCCCTTGTCCACGAAAGAAACGCGAGAAGGTACGTCACATGATCGATTAATCATAAAAAAATACGTACGGAGAAACAGACGAGATCCTTCGTTGGTTGTTTTACCTTGGTCTGGCTAATGAATTAACTCGACGGTGAGTGGCGGACGATTTTCCGAGCTATTTTCCGTGTGAGATCGATAACTTGGTGATGCGGATCGTAGTAGAAGTCGGTATTTCCTGCCATGAATTTACTAGCTAGAATTATATAATTATAGTATATATGTATACGCGCTGTAATAACGGATCATGGTATCCTTTAGAGATCAAATCTTAATCCGACGCATAAAGAGTAACAATCGCGAACCATTGCATCGCAATCGTGAGACTGTAAACGAGAGAACACACATGTCACAAAAATTATTACGAGTTGTCGCGACCGACACCTGAGCGAGTATAATTGCGCACCGTCGTTTGCCACTCGGTAGCGAAAATGCAATGATAAATGATCCTACCCGGAACGTTGTTTCTTTTCACGGTGTCATCCGGCGCGTGAGAGGATACGATTTGCTTCTAATACACGAACGTCACAGAATATGTAAAAGCGGACTCGACATTCCCCCCCTTGCTTCCCAAACAATGCAAAAATCTGGACAATTCGTCGACGTTGTTTCATCTCTCTATTTGCATTATAGCAAGAGCGCTACGAAAGAGATGGAAAAAACAGACGGTATTATTCGGATAACGTTATATTCGATGGGTGAATCGCGCGCGAAAAAACGAGAGGAACGATGTTTCTTGGACGTTCGTGTTGTGGACCCCCTTGGACGGGATCGCGCAAAAGGCGAAAAACCGAGCGCCGTTCTCACCGTCGAGTCCGGGACTAGCTGGCGACGCGTTCCGAGGCTCCGTTAAGCAGCGATGGGACAAGAAGAGCGAGCGAGTTGTGAAAACAAAGAAGACAACCCTATTAAATGCACAGTGATAAATGTCACGGGTAATGTTGCTGCATCGGCTGCTGGCCGCATCGGTTGGACGCGGCGGCGGCAGCGGCGGCGGCGGCGGCGACGATCGCGTTCGACGTCGCGTCGGCCTCCAACGCGGCTGGGCCGAAACAGCGCTGAAACCTCAGCGCGGGGATTCCTGCTTGCTAGTAGGCGGCAGGATGGACGGTTAGTCACTGCGGCGGCAGACCGGTCGGCGGCTTGAATTCGCCGGTGACGGATACGCCGTTCGCCTGGGCGCCAGGAAATTGCGCGGTCGACACCGGCGGCTGATGATTGAACGCGGGCGCGTAGCACTGCGGGAAGTAGAGCTCCGGCTTGACGACCGTGGGCGTGAGGGTACCGCGGGGTACGGGGACCGGGCCCAGGCCCGCGGGCGTGCCGGGCGGCTTCGAGTCACCGTTCGAGTTCCGACGCACCTTGGCCGCGTGCGGATTCATGTGGTTGTCAATGTGCTTCTTCACCTCGGGCTCGGTGGCGAAGCGCCGCCTGCAATTGGGCATCGGGCAGCAGAACGGCCGGTCGCCCTGATGGGTGCGCGTGTGCTGATCCAGAATCGCTTTCTGACGGAAGTCCTTGCCGCACTGCTGACACTTGTACGGCTTCTCGCCCGTGTGGATGCGCAGATGCTGATTAAGAATCGTGCGCTGACGGAAGTTGCGCCCGCAGTACACGCAGCCGTACGGCTTCTCGTTCGTATGGATACGCAAGTGTTGCGTGAGATGGGACTGCTGGCGGAACCTCTTGCCACACTCCGGGCACGGATACGGTCGCGACTCGATGTGTATGCATCCGTGTTGCAGCAGCGTGGACTTCTGCTTGAACTCCTTCTGGCAAATTGGACAGCGCACATACAGCGGCATGCCGGCCGAGCGGCCGTGCTGTATCACATCAGGTAGACAGCTCTTCGTGCCGCCCTGCTGCTTGATGTACTGCAGGGCGCCGAAGCTGCCCGGGCCGCCCGCGCCGAAGACCGTGTGATTGCCGCCCTTCGGATCCTTGAAGTAAGCGGGATACTGGATGGAGTTGGCGTCCGGCGCCGGACTGAACGCGCCCGACTGCGTGTCCGTGTCGCCGAACGTCGACGCTACCTCCTCCTTACCCTCCTCGGGCGGAAAGGGAACGTCCTGCGGCCAGAGCGTCGGCGTCATCCCGTTCTTGAAGATGAGGTGCGGGCTCACGTCTGTAACGAAAGTACGGTCCACGTTCATCGGCGGTATTCCACGGCGGACGGAATGAGAAGGAAGAACGTTAGTCCGGTTTAATGAGACGGAGCGAGATTAATACTACGTGTCAATTGTAGCACGAGTCAAGCGTGGCGTTAAGAAATCGCTCGAATTCGAGCGAGAACACCCAGGCAACACAAACGTCCGAGAAAAACGTCTAAAGAGAGATCCTGATTTATTCCGCGGCATTTACACGTCTTTTGGACTTTTGTGCTGTTTGGGAAGCTACCGTGAATCCAATTTATCGCGCGATCCCCAGTGAAAGTTATTAGCAGCGATAGGTGCACGAGAAGAAACGCAGCAGTCGCTGGCAGGCCGATGTCCACCTTGACGCGAGAAACTAAAGTTATTAGAGGGCAGGCGGTTTAGACTAGATGACGAGTCGGATCGTAGAGGATCGGAAGGAAATGGAGGGGAGGCGGGGATTGCTCTATCTCACAGCTCACCAGCGTTTTCGCGTCCAGCTCAACCGTTCTTACCCGCCGGTTGGCCTTAGCGGCAACGAGGCCGATGATATGTCTTCCGGCAAATTGTCTCTGATAAATCGTCGCTATATTAGTTTCCGCGATATTTCAAAGAAAAACTTGTTTTAGTAGGCTGGTGAGGGATATGGGTGATACAGACCAGTGGTGAATTTATCCCGTTTTTATTCAATGACACACATTGTCCTGTCAATTTACAATTATTCGATATCCCGAGCTCTAAATCCGCCACTGGTACATCGAACACTGGACAGGTAAGAGAATCGTTAGTATGCGGGTTATTGTACCGCCGGCGGTAATGAACGTGGTGATTATAATGACGACGATGACGATGACGCCGATGGTGACGGTGGTGACGGCGGTTGCGATAGTAATGAGTTAGAACCGGTGGGTGGGTCAGTGTGTGGTTGTGATGGACGCCCTCTGGGGAGTCTGGGAGGCAGAGAGAAATGCTCGCCTTGGTGTGTGCGGACGTGCTGATTCAGGATCGCCTTCTGACGGAAGTGTTTTCCGCACTCCGGACATTGGTATGGCTTCTCACCCGAGTGGATGCGCAGATGCTGGTTGAGGATGGCGCGCTGCCGGAACGTACGCTCGCAGTAAACGCAAGCGTACGGCTTCTCGTTAGCGTGTATGCGTAGATGCTGCGTGAGGTGGGATTGTTGTCGAAACCGCTTGCCGCACTCCGGACACCCGTACGGCCGGCTGTCCGTGTGGATCCGCTCGTGTTGCAACAGAGTCGACTTCTGCTTAAAGTCTTTGCCGCAGGTCAAACATTTGAACAGGCGTAGATCGCTGTTGCCGGACTTGGACGATTTGCCGCTCTGCTGCACGATGTCGGGCAGCCCGGTCGCCATGTTGGGCGCGCCCGGACTGGCGTACTGATGCGCGTCCAAGCCGGGCCCGCCGTCGCCCTGGCCAAGGGATGTCAGCATTACCCCGGGCTGTTTGAGATAGTGCAGCGCGGAAAAGCCACCGGGAGTGAGCATGTGAGGTGGCACGGACGGCGAAGGATGCGGCCGAGCCTCTTTGAAATAGTGTTGCGGATACTGTTGCAGCTCCCCAGCGCCAGGAAAGCAATCGCTACGGTCCACCTCCGCGTGAGGAGTCAATTGTTGCTGCGGCGAATGATCTTGTTGTGTTTGTTGTTGCTGCGGCTGTTGTTGAGGCTGCTGCTGTTGAACTTGTTGCTGCTGCTGCTGCTGCTGCTGCTGTTGTTGTTGTTGCTGCTGCTGCTGTTGGACCTGCTGCTGCGTTTGCTGCTGCTGCTGCTGTTGGGACGTTGCCTGACTCGATTGTATATCATCGTCCGGTGGAGTCAAGGACTGAGGCTCGGGAGGCGCCGAGGGATACGGTGAGGGCACAGGCGATGCTAAGGAGGGCGGGGGACCGTTTTCACTACCCTCGACGGGAGGACCACAGGCCTGCTGTGGGCTTCCCGACGAGGAGGAACCCTGTTGTTGCTGTTGTTGTTGTTGTGGTTGCTGTTGCGGGTACAATCCGCCATCCTGGAGAGATCCCGGCCCCGGGCCCCATTGACCCTGGGGTCTCTCCATATTATCTTTGTACAATACGTAGGGCGCGCCAGTATCTGAAAGTAGATAATGCAGAAGAGAGTTTGCGGTTAGATACATATTGACATAAAAGTGTTATTGTGTTAGAAAACATGGGAGCACGGAGATATTCGCTGCTTTTTTTTTTATCATTATGTCTACATTTCAAATTCCATGTACGCTTGAGTGATGTAATTCAAATAGAATGATATAATTTAGATAGTGCGTTCGTGAAATAGGATTAAATTCTACAGGTGTATTCTTCAACCGCTGTCGATCAAGGACGAAATTACTCGGAATTGGGTCAAGAAGCGCGGATCTTTAGAATCTTTGAGCTCAGAATGCGCGTTCTAGAATATCGGATCGTGCCACGTTCCCAGTCACGCATGGTTAGGCATGTCCGGTTCACGCTTCACAAGTTCAATCGCTGTTATGCAGATCGAATCTACGAACTGCGTATATTGCACTCATAATTTAGCATAATAATTTAAAGATACCAGAATTAGGCACGCGCGACACAGAATCGCGATGGATTCTTGAATCCTTGAAAATTTTTGTCCTTGGACGATCGAATGAGAAACAGAATCTTGTCGCACGTTCGTTTCAATCCGTTTCTTCCTTTCTTCACACCCATTCATTTCTTCAAATACATGGATGTAACAAAGACGCGGCTGTAATTAATCGAAAATAAGAGACGCTGAAGGGAAAGTAATTATGTCGCGCGCCAAGTTTTTAATTAAACTTCGCCATGCGCTATTATTTAAGACGTGTGTGTCTTGCCCAATCAGTATTATCGCGCGCAATTACATCCCGAGGAGTAAGGCGGCTTAAGGCGTTTTTCGATTACGGAATTTGCGTTACGCAATGATATCGCATTCCTCCTTTTATCGGACTAATTATATCGGACTTTATTTTCTCTTATTTGTCGAGCGGATTCGTCATTCGATTTGCATTTCGTGCGACGTTTAAAGCGATTTTTACTTCTCCCGCATTCTCTGAATGACTCATCCGATATAATGTTGTTTCTTGCGAAAAGTGGGACAGATATTAATTTATTAGAAACGAAAAATATATATCAACGCATAAAAAATATATATGTACAAAAAAAAACGAGAAATAAATGGAAGCGACGTGTGACAATGTGACAAATGATTAATGTTATATATTTATAGATAACGATAAAAAAAAACTTATGGAACCTCAGAAACCTGAGAATATACTCGAAGTTCATCAAATTTGTGCTGAAAATAAAAGAAAATAACAAGTCATGCGATATATACCGTTCATTTGCACATGAATCAAATCGCGTATTTATAGCTATTAGTTTTTATTTGACCACACTTATAGCACGTTACATAATCACTGTTTGTTGAGATAATGCCGCGTGCAACCGTTCGCGAGTGCGTCAAGATTAGTTTATTGCGATTTCAAGCTTATCCCGTCGCGTAATCGTATTTAACTATTCCGGGAATCTTCGGAGCGATAATATTATAACGTCCCGTTATCACGGTTAAGAGAAGAGCGACCGGTCGAAAAGTGACGCAAATGCGATATTCGCGCTCCAAGAGAGTGTCATTAATATAACTCTGCATATAATTTCCGCGATTCGGCGCTTTTAAAAGTCGTATCGTTTTGCACGAACATCGTTTTCCATTCGTTTCGCTCTCTGACCGAAAATTGAAATGTTCCTTGATACGAAATCTCGATAGCACGAAAAGAATTAAACGATTGTACGATTCGGATACGAGAGTCGTGTGTAGATCGACGTAAATATTTACGCATCGGTATCTGCGATTCGTCTGTTGTTGATCCCCTTCTTTCGCTCTATCGAAACTCGAATACAATTCATCCAAGTATTAGTAAAGTATCACGCTATTACGATATAACGTTCGTTCATTTGTTCGAGGATCGGCTTATTTCGAGAAATCTGTCAAGAATCATACCGCCAAGACAACGTTACGTCTCATTAAACTCAATCTCCGTCCAGCAACGGTTAATTACGACCAGAATCCACGAGTAATCGCCTAAATTTCCTCTGCACATCGGAAGTCGTTAGCTATATCGCGCAAAAACAAAATGTGTGTCGTGCAAAAAAACATTCTCGTAAGCTATGATTGCACTTTATATGGCAGCTGAAGATAAAAATATCAAAAACTTAATCAATGAAATAAAACGGAAAGTTTCTCTCGTCTGCTCCAACATGAGAATCTTGAAGGATATTACGATTAATAAAAATGCTATTTTTTTAAACAATTTAAGTTTTTTTAAACGACCGTATAATGACAATAGTAGTAATAATCGATGATTACCGTCATAATAATAAACCCACTCGGCCGATTATTCAATTTCGGATGGGAGATTAACACTTGCAAAAAGTACGTGAAAGAAACAAAGAGAGAAATTAATTTCTTCTTCATTGCAAGAATCTTTTCCGGTGTCGAATCGTTCAAGAAGTAGACGAGTGTTCTTAATGATAAATTGCATTAAAGAAATCTCCGGATTATTCTTTCCCTCGCATTCGCGTGAATAAACATTGGTAAGCGTTGATACGAACTCCACAAGTTTTACCAAGCAGTCCGACCGAGCTTTAATGAGAGACGATCCACTTATAACTTTACCAACTAAGCAGTCGTAAGATTTCGCCGTTGATTTTGACGCGTTATGTTTCTCAAATCACGTAAAGACGGATGACTTGTTTACCCGAGACAATAGCTTCAATAAATCATCAAAGAGCATCACAAACTAATGACATATAAATTATCAAGTACAATATATTTGCTTTTTTATTCTTATCCTTGAGAGTTACTTTGGAACGATTAATAAGCTTAAAATTTCAATACATTAACAGCATAAATAGTCGAGTGTAATGGTTTAAATTTATGTTCGATCATAATATCATAAATATTTAATTTCATGTTTCACATTTATCCACAATGTTCTATTATACACAAATATTGATGTTTTTAGTATGTGCAAAAGCAGGATGCAAACTTTAAACTTGGCAAATTTTGTACTTACATTATTTCAGTAAACTTGCCGCTAAAATAAATTTCTTTTTAAATCTATATTGAATTATTCGGTCCGATAGATGTGGATGGCTTGTTTGATAAATATTATATTTTATTGTTATATAAATAGTTAGAAGGAGGGAGAGAGAAACATGTAATTAGAGAACTCTTGCTGAGTGACATTTTGTCCTTTGGACCCGCAATTTATTAATGAAGTTTTTAGTAGGACAGATTATAAACTCCAGCATTATTTCAATGATTTTTACTTCTTTTAATTAATGGCCCAATTATTGTTTTTATTAACGCAAGAAATAAATTGCAAGAAATAAATTGTTTAGACGAAATCTTCGTTAATTACATTCACCTAATATTTTCTAAAAAATAATAAAAGCTTTCTTTTTTCTCTTGGCATGTTTAAAGACATGCTCAGCATAAGCTAATATTTCCTTTAGCATCAATATCTTACTTCGAGTTAAAGTAAGGATATCAAGAGACACTTGGATAGACTCGTAACACTTGTATCAACAAAAATCGGAAAGAAATCTTGAGTAGAAATTACACGAGCGTACCGACGAAAAGAGAAAGAAAATGAAGATGTAATCGCATAGTTATATTAAGACAATATACGCGATGAAATCGCAGATATAAAAGTAGAAAGGCCGCGCACAGAGAGAATAATAATTCAAACAGATCAATCTCTCGATAAGTTGGCATCGATCTTTTTTTAATCGAAAAAATGTCAATATATTTGGGAAATATCGGCGATGCGCGATGAAAGGTTCAGTCATGCAAACTTCTGAGATGAAATTCTTTCACGCGGTTTAATATTATTTCATGTTTGACGAACGTGTGTCGCTGATATCATTGATTTTTCGGCAACAAGCATAGGATTGCACTCTGGCGGGCGTCTTTACGATTTGTTTTGGCTGCGAGAAACGCATAAAGCGAAGCCGAGAGAGCTAACATCGGCAGAGTAGGAAGCGAAAAAGACGAAAGAGAGAGAAAGAGAGAGAGAGAGAGAGAGAGAGAGAGAGAAAGAGGAGAGAGAGAGAAAGAAAGAGAAAGAAAGAGAGAGAAAGAGAGAGATGGCTCGTGGCTGCACATGCGCGCTTTTTTCGCGTCGGGACCAGCATTTTTAAAGATTTTTCCTGCCGCGGCGGCCCTCTCGCAGATTTAAGTCGCCAGGTCGATCCCGTCGATTCTCGAGTGGTGTGAGAATCGAATGGTGTGGCTACTACGGGCAAACAATCGAAAAACTCGCTTCACGTCACCGGGGGTTCGCGAAACCGGTATAATTTCGATGAGGTCAATTCCCTATGCAACAAACAAAAAGTGCGAAATGCGTCAATTTTCTTGCGTCAATCGTCGCGACGCTATATTGTCGCCTATTATAAAAAAATATACAGATTATTTTCGTTATTTCTATAGCATTAAAATCTGGAATTTTAGCAATCATTTTATATATCGTGACAATATCGAGTAATCCGATAAACTAAATTCATGAAAAAAAGATAAAGCCATCGGGATGAATTTTGACAATTTTTGCACATGAGTTTATTTAATAATTAATGATGTTTATCATAGAAGGACGAAACGACATAAAACGTAAGGTCGATCGGTTTTGCGCGATTTCGAATTCTGCATCAACGGTGTTATATTGAATTAGACGAAAGAAGAAAAGATGAAACTCGATCTTTTTCTTTCCGCACAAAATCGCGAAATAACTGGAGTGTCTTTGATTCGAAAGCGCGGATTTAATTGAGCGGGTGAAAGCGACTTTGTGGGCTCAAAGTGAAGGCGCTGTCTCCGATATGCGTACAATAAAAGAAAATATCGAAGGAGAAAACCCGATCCCTAGTGTTAGATCGACGAGTTTTACGCCGACAGAATCCCGCGACACACTTTGTGCAAAAGCGTAGTTCAAAGCGTTGAAGAAGCGCGCTTCCTCGAATAACACCCTGCATAATTATTCATTTTCCGCACTTTTCCGATTATTGGAACTCTCGGATTTTCGGTTCTTTCAATTCGGC